CTTCTGAGCATGGGAAGTGAAGGGCATTTCTTGTTGGAAGACTGATGGACCACTCTCTTTGTGACTGCCCTGGTTTTTAACCAAGAAGGTCTTACCTGTCATTAAAGTTACTTGAGCAGCTCCACTCAAGGACTCCACAAAAGCGTTTGTTTTTGTGTCTGTGTGAGCTGTGTTAGCTGGAGCTGTTCTGTCTTGAGAGAGGACGAACACACAGAAGGTGCCACTGGTGTTTGTTAAAGATCTCTGTGGTCAGAAGCCTGAGTGAAGCCTCAGCCACCAGAACCAAGTTTGTAGAGCATGTACTCAGCAGAGACAGGAGCTGAATTCCCAGCTGTGTTTCCCAGCTCTTTGTGGAAGTTCCCTGTTAGATCACTCATGTCCTGCCAGCCTTCTGAGATCTGACAAGATCGTGGCTTGAACTGTTTAATTTTTCTTGCTGTCATGCGATGCATCACAGTGAGTTAGCTCAATAGCCCTAATCTAATGCTTACTGCAATGAAGCTGGGAATGTATCCATCAATACTTATTTCAGTAAGCAAAGCAAAATGAAATATTTTTTTGACAACTTCTGTCCATTTCATTATCTCCTTTTTAATCACAAAACTGTCTCGTACAGTTTTCATACATCCTTAAACTTTGTAGCCTGTCTGCTTTCATATAAATCAGGCTGATGCCAGCATCTCTCTCCTCTCCCAAACAAGGTTCCATTCATGCATTAGGTTAATCTCTTGCATTCCTGCAGCAGAAGGAAGCTGATTCTTTCCTGATGTGTCCAGGCACCTCTGGAGTTAGGAACAAAACTTTCAGGGAGTAGAAGACTTCAAACGTGATGTTTTATATGTTTTATTGCTTTGTTTTTTTTTTGTTTGTTTTTTTTTTCTCTTCTTCAAAAGTAATCTTGTTTAAGGATATTTGCAATGCAAGCAAAATTGAGAAGCTTGAGTATTGCCATTCTCTAGCATCACTCAGATCACTCGGTCATGCCAGAGTCAGGCAGGGTGTGCTCTGTCCTAGGCCAGACAGAGTTCCTGCATTATGCTCAAGTTCAGAGTGGAATTTCCTCACTGAACTCTGTGATATTTCCCCACTTATATTAAGGCTACTTTCTGTTTCTGCACGAAAGTTTGTCTGTGTGTAATCTCTTTAAGTATACATGCCCTTTGCACCGTTTTTAGAGCAATACAGTGGAGATTAAATTCGTCCCCTTTTTTCTATAAAACACTCTGTTTTCTAGGGTAATACTTTTCTTTTAATGTTGCAGACAGTAAGAGAGAAGCAAATAGGTAAGGAGAAGAAAAAAAACAAAGAATAGAGAGGATAAATACATACAGCTAGGCAGGAGTTTTTCTTCACACCTTCTGGGACAGAAGTGGATGAATTGTCCCTTTATTTACAGCATCAGTGTTGGTTTAGATGCTCCGTTCTGTGTCTGCTCCATGGGAATGAAATGTCAGGGCACAACTTTGTTCTTACTTACATGCAGCTAGCTCTAGGGATGCATGGCCCTCTGGATGGAGGAGAGAGCATCCATTGTCACATGCAGTTGTAAAATTGCAGTTCTTTGCTGGCTAAGAGCGGTGCAGCAAGATGTTCTCAAAACCAGGCCATTTTCCTTGCTCTTGCGAAAAGCTAGAGTTCAACTCTCTCATTTTTGCTTTTCAAGAAGCATAATGCTTCTGGGCTGTCTCCAGCCAGATGCTGATAATAGGCTCTGTAAGGGAGCTTCTGTGCAATGATTCTTTCAGCAAAGGAATTGCACATAGCAAAAGTGGAACTGACCAAGAGAAAGGTACGGTTAAAGCAAGCATTTAGACTTCTTCTTTTTAAAGAGCTAGTCAGAGTAGATTAAGGCCACTTGAACTCACATTAACTATTTGAAGTATAATGGCAAAGCTGCACTATTTTTCCTACAAAAATCCTCTAGAATATTGTTCATCTACGAATGAACACTTATTTTAAAGTCTTTTTCTGTGGCAGGTATTTATGTATGAGGCTTGAATTGTAATTGTGCAAGAAACGAAAATTGTTCATTTTAATTGACCTTCCTGACCTTAAAAGAAATGCAGATACTTGCAGACCGCTGCATTTTACTTTCTTCTGAAAACATTTTAAGGTAATCCACCTTGTTTTCATACTTTGGGAAGTATTTTTCCAGTGGGCCTGTTTCTTTCAGAGGCTGACAGTGAAATGATGGCAGAGGTTTAAAATAGATACCACATTTGAATCTTTTGTGCTGATTATTAAAGTGTGTGGAAAGGAGTTCTCTGACCCATTACAAAATAATTCTTTTGCCAACACAGAGCATAATGCATTCTGATGACACTCATAATTGCAGTGCTTCCAGAGTAATTACACTGGTAGTTCATTTTTTGTATTGTTGAAATTCATATTTGTGTGTTATGTTTAATTGAAATCTGCATGTGATCTATGCACGTGTGGAAATGCACATTGGGGTTACCTGACAACAAAGGTGTATTTACTTTGCAAGTAAGCAAACATCTGGGTGTCTTACAGACAAATGCATTATTATCTCACCTGTATGTGATACTACATCCCTGTGCAGCTGCATTTTTCCAAGTTCAGCCAGCCCACACAGGGGTGGATACTGGATGCTCAGATGTTTATCCAGTGTATCAGTTTCCAGAGTTTGGAATTGTTCCAGAAACCGGTTCATGGTCAGATTTTGGCCTCTGTCCTCAGATTCATTTGCTGATGTTGCCTCTCTTTAGTTACATGTTACCTGTTTGTACCAGCTGAGGTTCTTCCAGAGAAAAAGGAAATGAGTCTCCTAATTCTGAATTTTCTCCACTGCTCACTGAGCTATGATGGAGCTTGCTCTTTCTTTTGGCAAAGAGATGCTTGAACTTTTTGTATGTAGCTGAAAGCACATGGTAATGAAGTTTTAAAGCCTAAAGAAGGACATCTCTGGACAGGATGAAGAGTAAAGGTAATGTGGTGGTGTTTTGACACAGAATGGGAAGGCAGATTCAGGAGTAGAAATAAATAAATAAAACTGACAAAAAAGTTCAGTGATGTCTGTGTGGGTGTGATTTGCCTGTGTTAAAGTCAGGCTTGTAAGGTAAAACTAAAGTAAACACAGCTTTTCCTGTAATGGACTTGGGTATTCTAGCACGTCTTTTATAGAGTTCATATTGTATTTTGGGGATAAATTTCCCAATAAAAATAATTCCTCCTTGTGCTTTCTGGATATGAAGTTTAACCAGAATGTCTTGGAAAGAGGCCTGCGACTAACATGAGCATTTTCTTGATGTGATGTGTGTGCAGTTTCAGGAGGGGAGTAAAGGTCATTCCCCTGTTGGATGGGAAAGAGCTTCCTGAAGTATGTTGGCACACTGGATTTTTCTGCATTTTCTTTACAGTGGTGATGTCAAGAAGGTTAAATTTAAATTCACAGCTAAAAATAGTACCTAGAGTGTAAAACAATTGCTAAATTAGCAGTTATTCTTATGCAGTGACTGTAAGTCAAAATAGGGCTGGTTGTCAAGGAATTCTTAGTGGAAATCAGTGTTATCATCTGACCTTATTTTTTTTAATCTTCTAAAATCTTCTGCTTTACAGCTCTTGTAATTGTATAAAGGAGTGAAGGTTTTCTTGTATCAGCAGATCTGAGGACCGGAGTGAAACTGCAGCTTGTACATCCAGTCGGTGGTCACTGGATAGGAGCTCTTTTTGGTTATTACCAAAATACTGAACTAGCCAGGCATCCAAACCTGTTAATGTCCATCTTTTTAGGGTGTAAATATTTTAAAGGCTGTGTTCTTACAGCAGTGCATTCTGGGGGATTTTTTTGTGTTCAGGATAAAAATGCATGTGACCTTGGTTTAGTAAAAGTACAAGAACAAATTCCTTTGAATAAAAGCACATCTGAAAAGTTAAACAAAAAAATCCTTTTCTGCAGATTAAGCCTGGTGCTGCTCTCCTCCCTTTTAAACATTTAAACACACTCTTTACATGATGCTTAAGCTTTTAAGTCAAAGTTATGAGGTGCTTTAGCCAGGCTTGAACCTGAGAACAAGACCCAAACCAGGACAATAACAAAATGACACAAAGATTGACTCCACCGTGCTTGCTGGATGAAGTGAAAACTGCGGAAATATAATTCCTATATCCTGGGATTTCACTGCCTGCTGGAACTAATCTCATTAACTTAAAACCACCTGAGGCTTAAGAGACATATACACTGCTGTGAGAAATTATATTTATCTCATCCTAGGGGGAAATCCTTTCCCTCCCCGGCTTACCTTACTTTTGACTTTGTCATTCGTGAATTACCAGGTCATTTCTCCCCCATGGGAAAGTCGTCATAGCTCACAGCTATGCAATTACTGTATCTGAAGTTCACTGCTGTATGAATGCTGAGATCACTGTTCGAGGGTTTTCCTCTTAAATAATTTCCTAGAGAAAACAAAGACTGGAAAAATAATAGGTTAGCAGTTTACTTAAATAAAGTTCCTCCAGAGCTACAGGAAAAGATTCCTGAACTAAAAACACAGTATAAGGCAAAGAGCTTATTGAAAGCATGAAGGTGTTTATTGCCTTTGTAAACCAAACACTGAGTTTTCTTTAACCATTAAAGTTTAAGAGATTGGTGGCCTCTGATAAGTGGTAATTGGATGCAGAAATTTCCAATGTGAGGTTGCAGTTTGAAATCCCATGAGTGTCGCCAGGGAGAGTTCTGGAGTCGAGTGTTTGATTGCTGCACTCCAGTTTGGATTGAGAAAAGATCCCAAATCTGCATTCAGTATTAAATCCAGCCAGTAGAAATACTCTGACATAGGAGGATTTTGGATAAGGCATTTACTGATAATCTTGTTGGACTTTTCAGCAAGGCAAAACGACCTTGTTCAAGTGTCTTTCAATGTGTGTCTACTTCTGAAAAAAATGAATAAATCAATTTCGGGTTATCCATTAAACAGCTCAAATATAAATGACACTAAGAAAAAAAAGCAGTGTAAAAACAGAGCTCTGAAAACCAAATCCTGAAGGCCTGATCTCTGAGATGGATTGCAGAAAGCCTTTTACAGTGGAAGCTTTTTGTGGTGAGCCTGGCTTGGGTGCTGCTCCCAGAAGGGAGCCTTGGAGTAGGGAGTTTGTGTTGTGGAGGTGGAAGTTACTGTCAGTGAAATGGAGGTGCCAGCTTCTGTGAACAAGAGAAATGACCACTGAGCCAAACTGCAAGTCATTTTTGTAAAACCCAGCTCAAAAGGTGATTTGTGAATTTGAATGATGGGTCTGTCAAAGTTCACTGTGCACAGTGGTTTACTGGCCTTGAGTGGCCATTTCCCAACCAGCCATTTAAATTGGTCTGTGTTGATAATGTGTGTATAGGGACAACAATAGATGCAGTTGCAATTGCAGACCAATTACAGTAATTAAAAATGATAATATAAGCCTCTGTTTCTCATTCGTCTGCATGGGATGAAAGTAATCTGGCCTGTTGATGGGAATGCCCCATTAATCCTCTGTTGATGCCCTATATTTAAGGGCCTACAATGAAGTGTGTATGAGCAAATAGGGAAGTGCATTAATGTCTCTGGATTAGGAGTCCTTGTAATTATGGTGCTAATTATGTGTTGTTGTGATCTTGTCTGGATGTAGGTGAATTTGGTCAAGTGTTTTTGTTTCATTTTGTCTAGTAATGAATAAATCAGTGAAGTTACACATGGCTGTTGCTATTGTGTTGTTAAGAATAGAGTCTGTAGGGGTGAATGGTTGCTGAACTCTGGTGTACATTCCCTTTTCAGTCCTGCATAAATGAGTATCGCATATTCCAGTTTATTTAGTGATGGACAGGCCGTTAGCTCTTAAAATAGCTAAGGAATAGGAACCTGACACCTTGAATGATTTATGTGTTTTCTTTGTAAGCTTGTTTCTGTTTTGTAACCTTTAAAATGTGAGTTTTATGAGTGGTATCATTAAAATTTATACTCCCTCTAGTATGTGATGTTAGTCATTATTGCTCTGCTGTGCCTCCAGATCACCTGTCTGAATTACCAAGCAACCTTCCTCGGAGCTAAATAATAATTTTTTTTTCCAAATGCGTGCTGACTTCATTATTTTTCATTGGTACTCCCTTACCAGAGCAGAGGCCAGAATCTGGCCTTTCCTGCTTTCCGTCCAACTGGGAAAGGTTACCAGGAGTAACTGTATATTTTTAGGAATGAAATATGAGGGGTTGTTTAACTTCAGAGATCTGATATCAATCAGAAGAAACTTCCAGAGAATTTGTTTTGAAATATATTCTATTTTTTCTTCTTTGGTAACCGAGATTGATATGCTTGGGAGGTGATTTAATGTTGTGCTCGGCTTTGTTACACTAATTTAAAAGAGTTTCAGCAAAGAATGAATCTCAGAGGGAAAAAGTGCTGATACTGAAAGTGAATCACAGTCCTTGATTCCATCAATTGAGACTCTTAAAGATCTTATATACCAGGAAAAATTTTGTAAAAGGTTTCCAAGTTACACTTTTAGTCTGCATCCTCAAATTGAAGGTGTCAAAAACGTTTCTTCTGGAAGCCTCCACAATACTCTCAAAAGGTTTTGGGTGGTTCTTTAAACAAATTAATGCAATGAAAAAATGGAAGTTTTGCTGAGCCATGGATTGCTGCCCTGGTTCTCTGAAGGCTGTCAAGCAAACTGCTCTGAAACTCATGAAGATCACCCATCTCTCTCTTATTTCAGGAATTAAATGATCTTTATTCAATTTATGTTGCATATTGTCTAGCAGATTATGGTATAGAGTAACTAATTGCGAACTTCCCAAGCGTGACTTACTAGCCAGCTTTCATCCAGAGGTGAGATGGAATTGTCTTGTGATCAGTAAGACAGCAGATGGTTTAGTTTTTTCAAATCAAGCCTGTTTGCCTAGAATCAGATCATCAAGTCCAGCCATTAACCCATCACTTCCCAGCCCTCCACAAGCCCATGTCCCCCAGCGCCAGATCTTGTAAATACCTCTGGCCATGGGGATTCAGCCTGGGTGTGCCAGGGTGTGACACACCTTTCAGTGAAAACACTTATCCTAATAGCCTGTCTAAAACTTGCCCTGGCACTGTTTCCTCTTGTCCTTTTTCATGTTACTTGGGAGACCAACTCCACCTGGCCTGGACTTCCTTTCAGGTGGTTGTAGAAAGTGATGAGATTCTTTTTCTCCTGGCTGAACGCCCTCACCTCCCTCAGCTGCTCTTCAAAGGACATTTGCTCTGTGCCTTCAACAGCTTCATCTTTCAGAAGATGCTAGAGCATGCAAAAGAGCTGGGATTCAGGCTTCTTGTAGCAATGCCTGTATGGGGTTTTTTTTGTGTGTTTGTTTTTCTTACAAAACCTTATCATTGTAATACAAATGATTTACTGATGTTAACAGAGGATAAAATACTAATTTCAGTGCAGCCTGAGGCTACCATGATCTATTCAGTGCTGTCATCTAGTTTCATTGAAAGATATGTGATATAGCACTAGAAAATGAGTTTGAACAACAGAAAATGTGTTACTGTTGGAAAACATAAGAATGGAATATATCAGATAAGAGTTATGCCAGAGTAAGTGTGCTCAAGCACTGGATCCTTAAGCCAGTGGCCTTTTTCTGAAATAGGTGGTATCATGTTGCCTGTTCTTACAGTTATTAAAATTCCTTGTCTGCTTCTGGTCCCAGAATGATTATTCTTTCAATATTTGCAAGGCAAGTTCCCTGTCATAGTACAGATTTCCCTATTTATTTTTGTAATAAAGAAAACATGAGCATCAAATGTTCCTGCATTGAACACTTGCAGCAGCATAATTCCTAGAACTGGAAGGAAAACTCTGAGTTTGCACTCCTAATATCAACTGAGGTGTGTTTCAAGATTCTTGTCCTCACCACACACACTGCAACTAGGCTTTGATTAAAGTAATGCTATCAGGTCGAAGTTTAATTTGCTCTATGGTAATTGTACATATTTTAAGTTGTGAATGGACTCCATACATAAATGTCAGTGAGATGGTGAAGGAGGTGGAAAGAAGAGCTGTGATGGTGATTAGAGGAGGCTGAGTTGAGTTTTTCATAGGATTAATGCTTTCCAAATTGGAGAATGTAAGATTGAAAGTGAAGGGCACAGTCCTTGTTGAGGGAAAGTGGTGGAGTGATCCTAATGCAGAATCTCATTAAAGCAACTGTCAGGATTCCTCTATTTTACCATCACCTCCCCTTTTTTATAAGAGTCAGCTGTCGTTTGGAGTGAGCATACTGCCAAAGAGGCATTTACAAATAAATGAAAAATGTCACAATTGATTTTGCTCCTTTCAGAGGACTCCGTGTCAGCTTTGTCACAAACCCTTTGTTATTCTCTCTTTCAGGTCTCTTGTCTGGGCTTTGGAAATAACTTCGGTTCTTGGATTCCTTCTGTTGACCCGGGGTAAGCTCCCTGGATTATGACTTTTTATTAACATTTGTGCAACAGTTAAATAACATTGACTTTTCCGGGCCTATGAAGGGTGAAATGCTGGAAGTTCTTACCAATTACCTTATGACTGTGTATAGAGGCTGCATAATACAATCCACGCTTGAAAATACCACTAAAAACCAGATTTATTTTGCAGTTTCTCTTATAGAAGTATTTGCACATTATGGTAATTACTTGGCAAAATGTTGTGTGCTATGGTAGTAGTCACATAAAATATGAATAGCTATGTGGTTTTATTTGTTTCTAAAGAATATGTACTTCTAAGGTTGATCGTTTTCTTCCATATTTATAATTTCTCACTCTTTCACTGTATGTTAGATGGTTATAATGCATTATCCTGCTTGTGAGGCAATCAGAAGGTTGTTTTTCTTATGTACTTGCAGGCTGGATAAATAAACTTGATATACAATATCAGTCTACCCCTTTTAATGCAAAAGTGTTGCCATAAGATGGGATATCTGTTGAAACGTCATTATAAGAAATAGTTGAGTTGGTTTAGATATGAAGTATCTAAACTATGATTGCATCTAAAAAAACTCAGTTATTTTTTCTTGAGCTTCAGTATTTGAGATTGCAATCAAAAATACAGTGTTTTACTAAAATTGCTGTGAAAGAAACTTTATTAACATTCAGAAAAACACCCGTGGTCTTTTAAATAGGAGTTGAAGACAGACCTAGTACTACACTTAAGAGTAAATTTTGTCCTTGCTGCATTTTCTGTGATGTCCAGGAAGTGTAACCTGCAAACAGTAATAGGACGAGAGATTACAACTTTCCACTAACTTCAACAAACTCACACCATACAGAAATAATTGGTTTGTGATGGTTTTGTAAAAAATCTAAGACATGAATTCCAAAGGGATTCTTCAACAAGAGTTCTCTCATATTTTGCAATCTGGCAAAAAGCCAAAAATCCCTCTTTCAATGCATGTTTTTTTCGTAGCATATGAAAGAAAAACTTGCTGCATTTTATCACTGTTGCTGTTGCCAGATTCTTAAAACAAGAGACCTGAAGAAAACCACTTTCCTGTCACTTTTGTACTCCAAAAACTCCTAAGAAGTTGGGGAAGTATTGCATCCTGTAAGAAAAGCAAGAATGATTTATGGTGTCACCTGCCCTGTGTGCAGCTTTTAAACCTTCTTTTCCTCTTTCCCCTGGAATTTTAATGTAGCTTGATGGGCTCTACTTTAGCACTGCAGAACCCTGCTTGCATTGGTGTATGCATATTTGTCAGCTGTTTAAGCATTTTGAATGCATTATATTTCATACCTGGTTTTTGCTGTTCTGATATACCTTTTGCTTAATTAGAATGAAATGTGTTGAATTTGTTCTGAAAGAAAATTCTAAATGAATATTTGAAATGACTGTTGAATTTCCTCAAAGTTCAGACTTTTTATTCTTTTACTAGAAATCAAAACTTGTTAACTGGAACTTCCAAAGAACACCCTTAATTTGTACTTTGGACAGTTTTGTTTACATGGTAGTCTCTGGCAAAGCTCTCTAGGGCAGTTTCTAATACTGTGTTGTGAGCAGTGGGCTGCCCAGCCTTGCTGTTCTTCTGTTAGCATTAGAAAAAGTAAAAAAAAAAAAAAAAAAAAAAAAAAATCTCAGATATGAATATAAAAATCTCAGATATGAATTCTGGCAGTGTGGAAGATGATGACACGGTCTCAAGGAATGAACTAGACAGTTCAAGGCTGTTATATTTGTGTAATTAATTAATATTACTGTAAACAGAGCTGGAAGGAAGACTAGGGGGAAAATAAAGAACTCATCATTATCAGCTCTATTCATTCCCCTCTTGTTTGACTTAGTAAATTGTTTTGAGGTAAACCTAAGTGAAAATCTGTAGTATTTCACATCTAAATAAGGCATGCGCTTAGCAGTAAAGCAGTGCTACAAATGACAGTCCAGAACTCTCCCAAAATGCCTTGGAACCAAAATGTTTAAATATGACTTGGCAGATTTGCAGAAGCTTAGACTTCCACTCACCAGATTTTCACTCAGCCACATTTGATCATGTTACTGATGTTGATGTGTCGCAGCTTCTGAGAGCTGAGCATAGTCTGATCATGGTTGTGCAGATGTAAATATCTGTGGCCCAGCTGTTGGCATGTATGGGAATTAATTCCATATATTTGTCTGAATCTCATATGAGATGGCTCTCGAGTGCTGGGTGTCCCTACAAGCAGTGGATGAAATGTCATGGCTGGCAACATTGCCATGAGTTAGAAAATAACTTCAGTGGGAGAGTGTCTAAGAACTCCATCCAGCAAATAGCAAGAACAGATTAATAAAATAGAGGAGAGACGTGTGAACACCACCACAGCTTCTTCAGTTCACTAAGGAGCTTGCAGGTTGGGAATGAGCCTTGGAGGAGCTGAAGGGATGCACAGAGCATTTGTTCCAATGAGAGCCCTTCATGGAACTGAACCAAAGGCAGTCCTGTGTTTCCTGCAAGCTTCTTTCAGCCAGGTGGAAAGGGAGTAGGGAAGTGTTCTGAGGGCTTTGTCTTTCTGCATCAGTTTCTGTTCTTAAACTGCAAGTGAAAATGTTAGATCCATTAAAATTTCATTTCAGGTGATGGTGGCCATCCTGTTCCCCAATGCCCCCCCCCAGTAATGAGGCTCTGCTGTACATGCTGACAGTTGGTCACCTCCTGTACTCAGGATATTCTTTCACCCTATTTTCATACACAGATGTCTCTCTTTTTAATTTAATAAAGGTGATGTATTTCTGAGTCATGGGGGTGGTGGTCTCATTTCAGCAGAATGAATCACTGACCCTTCCCAGTGCCAAATACAGGACCTCTTGTGCAATAAGACCGCTTTTCTGTATATGAAAAAAGATAATTGACAAAAAGGGGAGGGTGGGGAAATAAGGGGTGATAATCTTGTCAAATAGGGAAAGATAAGGTTTGAAGGAGTTTGTCAATTCACGAGTTTCTCAATTAAAGTTATTACAACTTCACTTTTAGAATATCTACTTAAAAATCCTGAAGATGATTCTTAGTTGAAATCAAGCTGGTTTTTAGGGCCTCCTCTGATTTGCACCATGTTATTTCTTAAATTAAATTCCATATTATTCCATGGACTTCAGAGAGGTTGCTCATACAACAAACGAATCGTTCCTCACCTCTTTGTATCTGAGGCTCTGCTTTGTGCTGCTGCCCCCTTTTAACTGTTACAAAACACTTATTATCCAACTGGTGTCCTCTGAAGTGTTTTGTGTTGTTGCTTTATAAATTGCAAGTGATGTAATAGAACTCGCAGCAGAAAGGGCATGTGGAGAAGACAATACTAACAAACAATTTGCAGCTCTTCATTGCCATGGCTGAATGAGTTGGTTTTAGGTAATTTGCTATTCAAACAGGAATAATGAGGTTAAATGTGTTCTACTCATTTTTATTGTGGCACAATGGTCAAGCCTGAGCCACTTAATTTGAGGGGGTTGGGCAAGGCAAAGAAAATTGCTAATTGTGTGCTTAATTGATCATTCTCTCACGATTGCCTGTAGCTGTACCGTGTTAATGATGGTCTGAGATTAACCATCAGAAAATCACTGAGACCATACAGGAACTACCATGGAGCAGTTTAATGGTGAAATGGTTCAATTGCTGCTAACTCAACAGAGCAAAGGCATGTTGAACCCTAGAAACCTGACTTTTTGGTCAAAATCTGACTTCAAATGCATGTGGTGTGATCATCACTGCATAGTCTCTTTAGTGGGGCAGGGAAATACCTTTGACTACATTTCCTGGGGTCATTATTTTAGCAAGAGCATCTTGGGAATACTTTCAGCACAAAAGCATTTGCAGGACCTAATGCATTTTGAGCTTTCTGTATGAAACTGTAGTATTTGCTTCAGCAACAAATAATGATAATTACAGCTGGGGGTGGTGGTTCGTGATTTTTTTTTTTTGTTGTCTTTTTTTTGTTGTTTGTTTTGTTTTGTTTTTAACATTTCCTAGAACAAAAGTGTTTGAAATCCTATTCAGAATTGGTTTCCAAGTTCATATGCCTGCATTTAGACTGGAATTACTGTAAGGAAAAAATCAATGAATTGCCATTGTGTTAATACTATTGGCTCTATTTCATAAGTATGTCCTTGGGCATTTTTCAGAGTTGTAGCTATAATTTATGGGTGCTGATTACAATTCCTATGTGTCTTCTGTAGGTCTAGAAACAGGTTATGCAAACTTGTCACCAGTGACAGTGGCCTCCAGTAGAGTGTTGGCTTTTCACAATGTCTTCATATAAAGGAAACAAATACAGCCCTCCATCCCCCACCATCTGTTGTTATGGGCATTCCTTTATTTTCTTCTGTTTTGCGGAAGAATTTGGCTTAATGTTCTTGAATTAAGTGTAATAATTAAGATTTTTAGCATTTGTAAAAGCTTGACTCGCATGCAGGAGGTAGATTGAGACAGCCTGACATGCCGTACTAAAATGATACATAAGTAGAGCAGTGTTTTCATCAACAGAAATGTGTTGCTGTTCAAAGTTGATTCTCTCTGTAGGGTGCCATAAAGTAATTAGAAGACCATAACATGATCCTTCAGTATTGTATTAATTCCTTAGAGGGATGAATTCATCTTTTCTGACTGCAGTAGTGCATGACTGGCCATGGAAATGCCACTGAATTATGAAATCATCTGTAAAACAAAGAACAGTTTTTCTAGAGGAGCATGTTTATTTTACAAAACTCATAAAAGGCTCATGCTTTTAGTGATTTTTGCTTGTAGCAAACTGGAAGTGAAAGTATTTATCTTAAAATTAAAAATCAACATGGAATGCTGTGTACTTTGCCTTGAAGAAAACTGCATGTAAAATATTTGTCTTCTGTGAGGACTGAAGACTATTAGAGGGTCTCTGCCAACACAAAAATAATCTCTTCTTACAGGTGATGAGTTTTTGCAGCTGCTATAAACTAATCTGGTGATGGCTGCATC